CTTTGACATCTCAACTGATGAAAATATTAAAAAAGTGAAGGAGTTGGTGCTTGAGAATCGTCAAGCAGGTGTTAGAGAGATGGATAGAGAGCTCAATATCTCTCGCGAGTCCGTTTGAAAGATTGCGGTGGATATTTAGGATATCAAATGGACATACTTGGTGGTGCGATTTCCGATCCCACATTCATAAAGAGCATTATAAGTGCCGATGAATCATGAGTTTATGAGTTTGACATGCAAACAAGTCAACAATCATCGCATCGTGAACTTGTTTCGGGCCGTATTGAGGCGTTGTCGTGAAAAAATCCGTCGAAAACGGTCGAAATTATGGAAGAACGATTCATGGATTTTTCACGATGATAATGCACTATCACTTTGACCCACGATTGTCACCAAATTTAAAGCTAAATTTGCTGAAGGATTACTTTGAAGGTGATAAAATATATTGATATTTATAATTTCCGGGTACTTTTTTGTCACATATATGTATTATATATATTCATGTATATGTACAAGTGTCCATACCAGCGAACCAAGAAAACTCGTTTTGTTTTGTTTTTTTATTTTTTATAATCCTGGTCCGCATGCTAATTGTGGCGACAGCTAAGTTTGTTCTCCTATGCAAATATAAACTATTTTGTAGTGTATGCATACTCCTCAGATGAGTTTAAAAACAAACTACTTATCTTAACTAAATACCTACAYACATACATATATATAAACGTATGCAAAATGAGGTACAATAAGCGTTGAATTTGAAATTGCGAAAGAGATAGAGAACGACACAAGAGAATGAGAACAATGAAGAGAGCAAACTCGCAAGAACGTGATAAACGCTTTAGAGCGGAGCGAAATTGCGCGCAACAGTTACGATAAGCAGCCTGTTAATAACCGTGACTGAAAGAAATGTCTGATCGGGCGGCATATTTGTTGTGGTCCTGGTTTAATGACTGGATTTTAGTGCGCTTGAGAGTATATGTCAATTAAGAAGGGGGTTGTTTTGAAATATAATGTCAAAAAGTGGTCTAATCTGATTGTAACCCACCGAAATTGAAACACTCATTAGTTCAAGCCGGTGCTTGATACTGGCTTCGGCGAGTGACATCATTCAAAGCTTCCTCTCAGATAGTAAGTTATAGAGGTAGATATATAGAATGTTGAAATTTCTAAATTCCTAACCTAGTATCTGTCAACCCTATAAATGAAGTCAACCAATTAGTGGCGACCTAAAGTTGATAGAACAACCTTTTATCGAGTAAAAAAGGTCGAAAGGACGAAACTGTCTTAAGAATACTGTTGGGAAAATGCCTGTAATATCTGATTGTATATACTAAACTCATTTATGTATGAGATATCTCTGTGAATAATTGTGTTAGCGGAATGACATACAAATAATCTTATTTTATATACTTATAAACAAGTATCTATAAAATTTAACCTATAACTTATGATTATTTCTCAGTTGGGTGATACTATTCTCGCATCCCTCGGACTTTACACCCGTCTGCACTACAGAACTGGCGCGTATGGCCGTGCGACTGCCAGAGTTTACGAAGCGCAATGCCAAATGCTTGGCACATTCAGTCGATGACATAGAAACGCATAATAAATGGGTGAAAGACATTCAATCGTATTGCAAAGAGATACCCGAAGAGTTCCCCTATCCCGTTATAGCCGATCCACGCCGTGATTTGGCTGTACTCTTTGGCATGTTGGACGAGGATCAGAAACGTGATCCGGTTATTGCACAAACCATACGCGCGCTCTACATCATCAGTCCCGATCATAAAGTGCGTCTGTCGATGTTCTACCCCATTGCTACGGGTCGTAATGTTGAGTGAGTAATTTGTTTGATAGATATTAGTAAGATTGAAGAATGTAATAAATAATAAATATAAATAATGTGTATTTATGTTGTTTTAGTGAGATTCTGCGCAGCCTTGACTCATTACAATTAACTTACAAGCTAAAGGTTGTGGTTACGCCCGTCGATTGGACTGTAAGTTATTGTGCTACTTAATTACTTTGAAAATTTATTACAATACTTTTTTTTACGTATATGTAGCCTGGCAATAAGGTTATGATTCAACCGGAGGTCACCGATGATGAGGCAAACAAATTGTTCCCAAAAGGCTTTGAAAAGGTGCCATTGCCTTCTGGGCTGGATTATGTTCGCACAACTGAGGATTACTAATCCATTTTCAATGCAAAAATTATATACATATATATATAGAAATTATAAATTTTTCTCAATACGAGTTAAGTTGATGCCCTTTGACGAATAGCACTGTGCTGATCATTTTAAAAATGATTTTGCGCTTAATTTTATAACTGTTTCGATTGAATGTAAGAAAAAAAAATAAATTTTAAGTACAATTCATTTACAAATTTTTAATTAATTGCAAAACAAACCAAATTATTCATTGTATTCGGGATAATAGATGTGACAAAAAAGTGCCTGGATTATGCCAAAGATTTTTCCAGTCTTATTTCATAAGTACTTTTTATTGTTTTATCTCTTTTTGATTTTTTTTTTTCGTTTTATTTCTTCAATAGACTGAATAGACACGGGTCCCACGGAGCGGCATATTTCTATTTAGGGAACAAGAAAATATTACAGGCAGCCAAACCTGCTGAATTCGGTGGTTGATCGATAGTGTTCAATGCGTTTGCGCCTTTAAGTCAATCGGTCACAATCGTACTCTCTTTGAAAACAATTCAGCTTTATCGAGAGAATTCGAGCAAGAACGCGTCTCATATCCAAAATTTCCACCATAATCATTTTAATGGACTCCCGAGAGATGTTGAGCTCTCTTGCCATCTCCCTAACACTTTTCTGAGGATTTGCAAGCACCATATCCTTCACTTTTTAAAATTTTTCATAATTGAAAGAGGTCGGAGGCATGTCTTAAACGATCTCTCGACCGTCCTTGAAGGCTTTGTACCACTTGCAAACTTTGTTTTTTTGATAAAACTGAATCATCGTAAGCCTTTTCCGACATTCGCAGCGATTCCGCACACGAAATGTGGTTAGAAATACAAAATTTGAGACAAATTCCTTGTTCGATATTTTTATCTATTGTAAAAATCACAACGCACTACTGAGGTGTGCCCACTTAAGCAGCTGCTGTAAAATAAATTGGTTAACAGATCGCGCTTATATTTGGTCTAGTAGTAGTATTAAATTAAAACTAGACACTAATAGCTGTAACAACTGGCAGCACTAAGAATTGATATTCATTACAAGGTAAAGTACTTGGTACATTAATTTAGCTGTCTTCGATTCGAGAGATAAACTTCTGCTTTCCGTACAGACTGGATACTGTGACGAAATTATTACGTCAAGACCTGAAATTGACTTCTTACAGTTTGTGTAAGAAATGGAGCCGCTCGACTTTGCCAAGCACTAATGCTTCGCTTCATGTGCTGTTCCATGAAGATCTGATGTTTWCGAGACAAAATGTCAGTGTCTCCCATCTTGTGGCCTTTAAATGCTTAAAGAGTATTCTTGCCGTGAGGAGACAAGTGCATAAGAGGTGCTTTGTAATTTTGCTGGTGCCTTCTTGTTAACATTTTCTAATCATCTTACAACAGTCCCTTCYATCGAGTGCCAGTAGGAACTGCGTATATTTCCGATCTTCTGTTTGTCACGTGACTTTTGTAGTTTTGCATCAGGGAATATCATTCCAACGTGTTTTGATTTTTCTTGTCCAGATCGTGGTATAGCACACTGTAGAAATAAGTTCACTTGGTTCTGGTGACACACTTCACTGCTTCCCTGCTGCGAAGAAACTTTTGGCCTATGTGTGAAACGATTGCTGTTGGCTATCCAGTTTATCCAACAGTGGGGAATGCTATGCCTATTCTAAATTTTTCAACTTATCCATATATTATATAGTATGTGAAAATATTTTTTTAGATTTTCACAATCTAGAATTCTTTCGTTTATTTTGTTGAGTTATACAATAGAAATATTCTTCTTCTTCTTTATTGGCGTAGACACCGTTTACGCGGTTATAGCCGAGATTACAACAGCGGTGGTTGTTTTCCTCTTTTCATTGGAGGTGATTTTACGTTGCGGGCCGCAAGCCCAGCGCATAACCCTAGGGAGGGCTGTTTCGGCTTCTCACTTGTCTTTTCTTCGATCGGATGTTTTTTGGCTACCCAGAGGATACTTGGTTTAAGGCCGGAAGTCGCGAGCTGCTTGCGCTATATGTAAAAGAATCATTTCTGACCATTCACAAGTGAATAGCGCTCAGAGAACTTACTTTACTTGCGTGAACTTCAACACATGACTCCATCCTTCATCCTTACAGCACTATTAGTGGCTTAAAATTATCGTGTTTTAGGAGAATACCGTTTTTATTTACAAAATATAACAGTGGACTTATGAGAAAAGAATACGATCAACAAAATCGTTGAGTTAGTAAGAACGACTGATTTAGTGAGAGTTTGAAGTTTGAAGTTCAGTGTATTGGATTGATTAGTATAGATTAAATGTATTTACATATGTTCTTTTGCCAACTATTTAAAATCTTCCATTTCCCTTCCAGTCTCGTAAATTTCTCTCTCTGTCACCAAGCACAGATGGGCCGTGTGCCGATTTATTGATAATTATAATACATACCTAAAAGGGTTTGCAAAAATTGTACATATATATATATATATATATATCGATTTATGATATGCCCAAGAGAATACAGTGGTACCTGACATACGAGTTTAATTCGTTCCGCAGCCTTGCTCGTATCTTGAATTACTCGTATCTCGAAGCAAATTTCCCGATACAAAACAATTGAACTACCATTAATCCGTTCCAACCTCCAAAATGCCACCCCAGTTATTTTTGTTACGTGGTTTTGAATAAAAACGTCTTTATAAATATCAAATATTTATTACACGAAAACTAAAAAGAGAATGTAAAGAAATAAATTAGATATCCTCACTGGTCTTTGCCTTTTTCGCAAAATTTTTCTCGCTTTCACCTGTAGGCCGTTTAGAAAAAGACATGTCCACAAGGATTTATTTCTTTCTCCCTCTCAGAATGAGTTAGGCAAGTGTTATTAAAAAGTTCAGATGCACGACCTGTTGCAACTTTTTCTGGGTGTTTTTTTTCACGAACTGTGAAACTCTTCCCCACATTCCGAAGATCTTCTTTATCTCACTTGTAGAAATAACCTACTCCTTTGACTACTCCTCAAAACCAATTTCTTGCATAACCTCAGTATGCTGCTGTGACTGTAACTCTTGTGTCTCGTCAATCGTCAGTTCCTTGGTGTGCTCCTCGATGAGCTCGTTCACGTCTCTCTCTTCCACCTCTAGACCCATGGATTTCCCCAGAAATACAATCTYCWCCTCTACTGAAACACCGGGTACCAATTCTTCATAGTTCCTTTCAGTTGTATTTGTACAGTTTAGCCCTTGAAGACATCCGAAAATTGTTCACTTGGTTACTTTAACATAATAGTAAATAAAATAAGCGAGAAATTTAATGTGGAGTTCAAGAACAAAGTTTCCTCAGCGATAAATACTTTTATCAATTTGCTGACAAGTTGATAGAATTTGTAGCACTTACTTCCAGACCTTGTGGGCTGGTGTGTTTGTGAAACCAAAGGCGAGCCTTTATGACAGCTGTGCTCTATTGTGGTGCACCGCATTTGTCAAAAATAGTTTTCGGTTTGTGAAATTTTATTTTTTTTTCATATATTTCTGGCAGCCACTCAAGGCAAGAGAACATGCCACTGAAATACATGCAAAAGGCACAAGTGTACCGTTATTACGAAGCAAAGTTTAATGCACTCAAATTACCACGAAATAAACGCAAATACAGATGGGCGAAAAAAATTAACTACAATAAAAAAAAAAAAAAAACACAAAAGCAAAAACAATATGTCTTAAGTGTGACAGTACAAGCAACAAAAGCGCTAATAATGAAATCCACAAAAAAAAAAAACGACAAAAAGAGTCCAGCAAAATTGTCGAAAGCGACAAAAGTCATCAGCTCGGTCTTCGTCGTTCTTGTCGATGATATTCAGCCACAAGTATTGATCAAACTTGTAAGCGGAAAATTGGCGCAAATGTTGCATGTTAATAGCGATGAAGCATTGAAATATGGTTAAATAGGTCTAAGAGGGTTCCATAAACATATATAAATGCATATTTTTTGTAATGGAATGGGATAACAGTGGCGTGCATGTGGTAAGCCGCCTAAAAGTAGGCAGGCTTTCTGAGAAAAAATCCTATCGTAAGACTAACAATATATTTCCAGTGATTCCTACCGTATGGCCCCAAATGCTTAAAGCGTAGTCTTGTTATTGGGGGAAAAGTGCATAAGATATGCTCCATTGTTTTTCTGATGACTTCCTCGTTACATTTTCTGCAGTCTTCCAAATCTGTCAGCCGAATTCTGTAGCGGTGTGGCGTCTATATACCGAAAGATTATTTTTAAAATTTCCTGCTTTAGAAGCAAGGGAATGGTGTGACTGAGAAATCTTCTTAAGTCGAATGGTGGCCGTCTCCAAGCTTTATAAACTGTACTCTACGATGTTAAATCAGTTAGAAGTTCGCCTGTACAAACGGTATAAGTTGAGTGGAATGTTCTGTGCTATACCTCATAAATGTTAACATTTCTTTTGTACGAAATGTATAGCTGTAAAGTGAATTAAGGAACACCAAAACAGACTCATACACTTAGAGGGCAAAAAAATGTTTTAGAGGTAGACAAAAACGTTCTAATCCAGTTTAGTAGACAGCACGACGGTCTCTTTGAACCCCTGAAAGTATTGTAGTTACTTGTCAGTATCAGGGCTGTGATTGCTCATTGGAAAGAAGTTGAAAGAAGAATACTTCCAGCAGTTTGGCMCAAGTGTAGCCAGATCCTACTCCATCTGGTCTTTCCAACGGASTGGAGGTCTTGCTYTTTATCTGCTTCCCCCTGCTTTTTATATCATATTATGTCGACTTTGACGGCAGATTCTGAATAGTTATATGCTACAGGCAAAGTGACCATGGCTGAAATCCATAACGGAAACGGTTGTAGGTTTGACAGATAAACAAAGTTTGATCCGTATACACTTGGGTTACTTAAACATGACTGTTCTTGAAACAAAAAGTTTACGAAGTCTAATATGACAGTGTAATTGGTAAGACGATTCAATTCCAGCTGGTCGCTTGGGATCGGGTGAAATTTAGTTTTTGAACTGCATGTACGGGTATATTCAGGCATAAGTAATCGCATAGAGTCCTAACCGACTTTAGAGCCGGTATGACTGCATTTCTTAAGTTGGATTAAACATTTTTCGCTCTTCGAACGGAAAATTTAATTCTTGAACCTCTTCTATATACGGATGATCGAATTCGTTTTGCAGTTATAGAAGGCAAAGTAGAGC